AGAGAGGGGGGGGGGGGGAAAGGGGGGGGGGGGGGAGGTGAAGAAAAGAAGGGCGTTCTAATTGTATGATGAATAATAAAATAAAACAAATATAAAATATATTTACCGCCAAAACAAAACCAAGTTTTACACATCATTTATCCAGGGGCGGAGACGACAAACAGTCCGAGCATCAAAGGTTTTACATGTGGGGAGCCTGGAAACAGAAATTGTTTCCATCTCTTGAATATGACGCTGTTACTGGAGCAGACTGAAGGGGGGCAGCCCGACCTCCCCTCTCCTCCCCTACCCTCCCCTCCCCTCCCGTTAGTGATGCAGTGAAGCTGCTCTGCGCACGGAGACAGTGTCTCTGTATAAAAACAAGCTGCACTTCCTCACACCGACTACAACAGGAGGAAAGGAGCGTCAAGTCCGAGCGGCCGCGGCGGGAAGGCAGCCCAGCACAGACGCCACCATGCAGGCGAAGAACACCATCAGTTGGAGACTTTTTCTGTGTTCCTGTCTGGTTTTGGAGAGTTCGTCTCAGCACTTTGGCGCACAGACGCAGTTCATTTGCACGTCCGTGCCCAAGGATATGGACATATGCGCAGCCACATTGCAGAACAGTGTGCCCGGGGAGGACTTGAAGACCACTGTCATGCATTTGCGGGAGACCGTACTGCAGCAGAAGGAAACGATCATGAACCAGAAGGAGACGATCAGAGAACTCACCTCAAAGTTGGCGCGTTGCGAGGGCCAGAGCGGAGAGCCGGGGGGCCGCAGGAAAGAGGCTGGGAACAAGAACACCATGGGGGACGTGTCCAGGGGCCCCGCGGACACTTTGGCACAACTGTCACAGACTTTACAGTCGCTAAAGCAGAGACTAGAAAATCTGGAGGTAGGCGTCCGTGGCTGAGGGCATTAGAAAAGGCTGAGGATGAGGAGCGACAGTGCGCATCTCAACGGGAATAGAATTAAAACCGAACAATGTTATTGTAATACATTTAAAAACAGATTCCGTAAACACGGAAAAGCTTATTTATATAAAGTATATTTTCACCAGAAACTCTAACTGGATTCCAACTGTTAATTAACGCAGCGTTAATCGTTCATATTTTCTCCCTTTCCGACAGCAATTCAGTAGAAGTAACAACTCGGTGCAGGCGAACAGCCTGAAAGACCTGCTCCAAAGTAAGATCGACGACCTGGAGAGACAGGTGTTGTCCCGGGTGAACAGCATAGAGGAGGAAAAACCGGGACTGAGTCGGAATGAGACCGAGCAGCGTGGGAGAGTCGAGTCCACGCTCACATCACTTCACCAGAGGATCACGGACTTGGAGAAAGGTGGATTTTTTTTATATGCAGATAAACTGGAATTGACTCGTGAAAAGAAACCGAGGCGCCATTATAGTGTGTGCTGTTAGTGAAGGGTTAAAGATGAGGCTTTGGGACGATTAGATCAGAGAGGCTGCAAAAATCAGATTGTTAAAAAAGCCTGAATTAGTTTAAAGGATTCATCTTTGCCTTTATTAATGCAGATTATTAATTTGAAGAATAAAAATCAAAGTGTGAGAGTTTTGTATAAAAATAATCTCTAAATGTAGATATGGTTGTTGGGAACGTGAGTTCTTTCCTGTTCGTGGATTAACATGGTCGGATTAGAGCAAATCTGGAGATTTATCAACGTGGTTTTGTTGTGTAACACGCAGTTCTCATAAAATCTGTGGTATGTATGAGCTGAGAAACACACACCGTCGTTTCAGATGGAGGCCTACACACACACACACACACACACACACACACACTCACACACACTCTACAAAGCCCCAGAAGCCAACTGTCTTCTCCTGTGTATTCTTCCTCACAGGTCAGAGAGAGAACAGGCCCCTGGATAAATTCCAGCTCACCTTCCCACTGAGAACCAACTACATGTACGCCAAAGTGAAGAAGAGTTTGCCAGAGATGTACGCGCTCACCGTGTGCATGTGGCTCAAGTCCAACGCCTCTCCTGGAGTGGGCACACCTTTCTCCTACGCAGTCCCAGGCCAGGCTAATGAGCTGGTTCTCATAGAGTGGGGAAACAACCCGATGGAGATACTAATAAATGACAAGGTAAATGCATGGAGTACAGTTGGAGGAAATGGGGTGGGGGGTGGGTTTGGCTCTGCTGATTATTCTAAACACTGACACCCTCAGGTTGCCAAGCTGCCTTTTCTCATCAACGACGGGAAGTGGCATCACATTTGTGTGACCTGGACGACGCGTGACGGCGTTTGGGAAGCTTTCCAAGACGGTGTCAAGAGAGGGAGCGGAGAGAACCTAGCTCCATATCATCCTATCAAACCACAGGGGCTGCTGATCCTCGGTCAGGAGCAGGTGAAGACGACCACACCCTGCTGCTGAACAGTGCTATTTGTGTCCAATGAAACGGAACTTTCAGCTCTGAGAAAATGACCTCAAATTAATGTTTATTATGAAATCCTTTATTCACATGTCAGCCTGACTACAGGTTAGACATTACCTTCTGAATTACCTATGAGTCACACTAACAATCAGCTAACAAGCTGGAGCTACGATTGTATATTAAAACATAAACCAATTTTCTGATCCCCGCTCTGCTGTGATTCATAAAAATAGATTTCGTAGAGTCGTTTAACCTTTGAGTTGAACTCCTGGAGTAATCCAGTGGATTAAATATATATATATATATATCATTCAGTTTAAATGAGTGGGATTCTAGATAATCTAGTTTTGTTCTTTCCACAAAGCAGCCCAACGGGAGAAACATTCCCATCAGCCCTGATTAAATCCATTTGTCTCTACCACAGGACATGCTCGGCGGAGGATTTGATGCCACACAAGCGTTCGTCGGAGACCTGGCCAACCTTCACATCTGGGATCGGAAATTATCCGTGGGGGAGATTTACAACTTAGCAACTTGCAGCAGCAAAGCCCAAGTGGGCAACGTTTTTGCATGGATGGAGACGAGCCTCGATATTTATGGAGGCGCCTCCAAGTGGACATTTGAAGCCTGCCGACAGCTCAACTGAACCTGGACGGAGGAGACGAGTGTTGAATTCCTTACTTTACTGCTGCTACGGCAACGACGAAGAAGAGGGAGGTTCAAAACATAGCATCTGGATTTGTTATAGATATTTGAAAACGTCATCCGTGGACACATCAGTAGATTTTCACCAGATATTTATGTGGGACACCTCACTGGAGTTTGACCCTGGCGTCCCTGTGTGTCTTGGTGGCAGCTCAGGCACAGCCAGGTGGTGTTTGACAGAGCAGCCCAGGTCAGTTCAGGGAGAGGTGGATGTTCTCTGGAGCCAAAGCATCAGGCCAGCTGTTCAAGGAGAGTCAGAGGTCAGGTGGTAAAAAGTCAGCTGATGTCAAACTTTCCAAAAAGACTTCTTCAAAGGGTTCTCCGGTTGTCCTTGTCGTGACTGCCAGGGATTTTCACTGTGAAAAGGAACAAGGTGGAGCCCTTTGGAATGGGTTCTTCAAGAGGTCGACTCTTTCTCACTACTTTTTTCCTCCTCCATCAACACCAACACCTGCTTGACGTGATTTTTGTGTAAAGAATGACATAGTTATTGCCAACATTCGAGCCTGAGTGCCTTGGGCTGTGGATAAAAAAAAAAAAAAAAAAAAAAAAAAAAACTTCAGCACATTGGTTGATTTGCAGAGTCGTCGTGTTTATTTTTCTGTAAAATATTTTCCAAGTCGGTGTTTCCTGTAACACGTTGAATGGGGATGGATTAGGTTGTAATGTGTGAAATGCAATTCATTGATGACAAAGGCGCATTTAGCAGATGTCTGTATTTCAGCGGTTATGTTCTCTGTACAGTAACAGCATGTCTTAACTGTAAACGCTGCGTCAGCAAATATGATCTTTGCTCTTACTGTCCTACTTTTGGGTGGGAATTTTATACTGTATTGTTATATGCTTAAAGCATGGCAGCACCAACAGATGAAAAAAAAAGTTCTAGTTTTTCTAATAAATTGTGATACTTGAATCATAACAATGTGTTAATACGTTTATTTTTCCTTGGCGGAAAACAACAAGGACCAGGTCTCATTTGGACACGTAGGTCTGGACACCACACCATCGGTCGCTCTGCTGTGAATAGCTACACAGATGGTAATATTGGGGATTGATCTGAGAGGATTAGAACCAGAGAAGTTCAGGTGCTTCAATTAGGGAAGCCAAGTCCAAAGTTTGACCAGTGAAAAAGGTCAAAACCATCAAAGTTTTTGCCCTAAAACTTAGACAAACAAACAAAGAAATCCCATTCTCCACTGTCACACCAAACACCTACTCCTCTACAGCCACTGAATGTGTGTCGTTTGTCTTCAAACCCTTTCAGCAGAGCGTCTTTAAACGTCCTCCTTCACCAGATCATGACTCTCTTCTGGGATCTTCCATATTCCCTCCTCCCTCAAACAGCTGCCGCTCCAACAATCTTTACCAAATACATTGACCTCTCATCACTCCTCACATGTACAATCCTGCCTTCCTAACACAATCATTGGGTAACACATCAGCACTACCCATCGTGCCACAGTGTGGTCTCACCATGAAAAGGCATGAAAACAAACTCTAAGCCACTTTTGTTCACTCGTCTTCTGCCACTCAATCATTTCCGAGGCAGTACGGAGTCTGGAGCCAAACACAGCAGTCAGCAGACGGCCATTCACACAGCACCAGGAAGGAACCAGAGTAGAGTACCTACAGGAAACTAGAGTACTGGGAGTAGAAACGCACACACACACGGGTAAACATTCATTTGTCATATAATATATATACAATCAACCCCAGTGTGGCCAATGGGTTTTGACAAATAAATACATCAATAAGATAAGATAAAAAAAATAAACAATTATATTTGTCTGGTACAAAACTGGTAGAAAAGTGTCTAAAATCACAAACCAAATCTGTCACTTTTAACTCATCACTTTTCCACTTTTTCTAGAAACACACATGGATTAACAAATCACCTTCAGCCAATAAGAAAGGTCAAATGTCAGGTCAAGTTCAGGGAAACTCCTGCGGCGGCGTCTCATCACTTCTCCACACCTGACTGTACAGTTGCTCAGCTATTAATTACACACAGTATAATGTAAACTCACAGCCTGTGATGTCAGGGTTCAGACGGAGGTCAAACACAACTCAATCCATTTAGTTTCCCTGCAAATGAATCCCATCTGACACCACAGTCTGGAGAAGACTCGGGGTCTGAAGGTCCAGGCCGGGTTGTTAGAGATGTTGTTCAAGTTTCACCACCTCTGGGTCACATGTCGCTTAAATTGGTTTCTATTCTTTGCCTCAGAGGCAGAGGGGCAACTTCACATCAATAGGCTTCTCTCCCCAGACACCGGGCCGGCCTCAGCTCACAGCAGCTGCAGAGCCATTAAAGACAGCGACTGTGACACACGTGGAGTCAGGTTACAGTTAAAGCCCTGGACGAGGAGAGGAGCTGATCACCAACCAACACAGGCGTTACACTTTGTACACACACCTACATGCAGACATGTAAAGACACAGACACACACGTGGTTTCATTTTCTCCTGAGTGGCCACTAGAGGCCTCGTTAGAAATCCACTCCTTCATCCACACTCCCCTGACCCCGTTGACCTCCAGAGCTGAAGCTTGGCCCACGTCTTGTCATGTGCATTTTTCGGTACAGCTCCATAACAGTCAGCCCATTGACCTCACCGCAGCTTTCACCAGCACTAATTGGTTCGTGACTGCATGGACTCCGATCTCTCCCCTGAGCTACCAATTTGTCTTTTTCTAATTCACTCTTGTCGGTTGTAACAGAAGACGAAAAGCTGAGCTGGCGGTTCTAGGTAACCAAAAAAAAGAAAAAAAGAAATACAACTAAGTTCCTACATTTGGGACGACACAGATTTAATGGAGATGAGCGGCACATGATGCGATCGTTCAGTGAAAGTGTCCCATTTTAAATTCAGCACACTCATCCCTAATCCCCACTGGAGGCACAAACCATTTAATGAATGAATAAGTGAATAAATAAACAAGTGTGCGATTGCATTAAAACACCATTAAAAACTTTGGTGCCCAGGAAAATGGGTCAAAGAGTGACGTCACAAAAGAACAACAAGCACTTAGGATTAATCTGGACCATTTATACTTCAGCTCCTCCCCAACGACTGAAACAGTGGACTTTTAAAGATAACCTCTTCCTGCAATTTAACATTTTTACCATTTTTTTTGCGAATGTTTTCAACATTGAGGGTAAAGGAAATAATTTATTAGGCAGATATAGAATATTAGTCGAACATCTGCCGGCCAGAGTTGAGGGAACGATCCTCTCTCTCTCTCTCTCTCTCCTCTCCCTCTCTGTAAACAAAGAGGTATTAGATTGTGTTTTTCCAACTGACAATCTTTCAAGCAAAATGGTGTCTAATAGCTGTTGTATTTTAATTATTTATACTGTGATTCATAAATACTGAAGTATTGGACGATCACCAGTATAAAAGAAGAAAATCAATCCGTCCACTAACAGGCCGAGAGGCCGCCAGATAAAATCACAGAAATACTGTAGCTGAGTGAAGTCACCCAGAACCAGATGATACATTTTGGACAAAGCAGAGCATTCTGATATTGAAACTCATCCATTTGCTAACTAACCAACTAACCAACCAACCAACTAACTAACTAACTAACCAACCAACCACCAACTAACTAACTGACCTCAAATCAACTGCTCCCAACAATTAACTGGATCAAGGCTGCAGGATCAGTGATGACAGTTCAACTAGAGTTGTTTTTTTTATCTGTATGATCAGTGCGTCCAAAAGCAGGAACTCTTCCCTGAGGAATCACTGAGAAGATGAACGGTTCCTCACATCCCAGTGACCGTCTGTGGCCTGAATTCAGAACCACGTTCTGTAACCTGGTCGTACTGGCCGTCACACTATCGCAGGTACAGTCCACACTTCCTTTAAAGCTCAACACAAAACTAAAAATAATGAATGAACACGTGTTCATATTTATGGTCAACATATGTAACATAGTCACTGATTACCCAGCGTCCCTCTGTATAACCCTTACTGGAATAAATGAATTCTAGGCTCATGTATGGAGTTCATACAATGGTCCAGGGTATATAGAGAGAGAGAATGAGGAGCTGACGTCATGTCCGTACAGCTGAGATGTCAAGGAGCTGCAAACTCATTACTGGAGGATTCATTCAGAGAAAGCTGCTGCTGAGAACAGCTAAATTAGCTCCACCATCAAACGAGTTATAATATTAATGTAACAAAGGATGGATTTTCCAAAGACACGGTAGTTAGACAAAAAAAGCTGGAAAAAAATAATTAGGTCTGTACGCATTTTCTTTTTATAATTTCATTACAATACATTATTCAGATGTTTCATAACATGTTTGTGTCGAGGAATAATAATTTGAGCGTGTTAATTAATGCTATTCGACTGTGTAATCTACTGTAGGCAGTCATTAAAATTGTTCTTGTGGTTTTGACACGTTGACATTATGTTTCTGACTTGAGTTTATAATGAATTAGGGGTTTTCTTTGTTTGTAAA